TTTTATTGGTGGTGTCGTCATTGTCTGACATCTGTGGCAAATGCTTTGTTGTTGGGTATTTTTTTTTTCTAAAATGTCCACAGAATCACTATCACCTACTGCTTTATCTAAATCTGAGACCTGAAACGAACCTCGGAACAATTGTGTTTGACTCCATCATCTCTCAGATGCAAATACTCTGAGTGCAGGCTCTGAGAGAGCCCTGCCCCTGGACTCAGGAGACCCGGGGTCTGGGTTGGCTTTGCCTTTCCAAGGTGGGAGGCTGCCTAAGCTCTGCCCTCTCTACTTGGGGCTCCTTTCTCTCACCTGCAAAGTGAGGGGCTGGGCAACAGCACCTCTCAGGTCTCTTGCTGCTCCAACATGCCAGGATTTTGCATCTAAAAGCTCATCTAACTCAGAATCTTAAGCTTTAAAATTTTTATTTATTATTTTATGAAATGTTAGAAAAAAATAGAAAACAAACAAAACCAAATAAAAATACTAAAATTACCCATAACTAATCCCATCATCCAGAGATACCTGTTAACATTTTTTTTTCAAAAAAATGAAAGAAGAAAGTACTCTTGTTTGTTGGTTTATTTTCTAATTGTAAAAGTACTATATATTTGTTTTCAAGAAAATACTCAGACAATTTAGGAATGTTTGGTTAAAGAAGAAAGTAAAAGATAACCATACACCCACCACTGAGATGCAATATGTTAACAGCTTTGCTGCATAACTTTCAGGTTTTTAAAATCATATATGTACATGTAAATTGCTTTCTACAAAAATAGGCTAATACTAGATATACTACTTTGTTACTTGAAAATACATGTTTATAAATATATTATGAACATTCTTCCAAGTATTTGTAACTTTCATTATTTTTAGTAAATGTTTTGCTCTTGTTGAATTAAATCAATATCAAACATTCATAACTGTACCAGATCCCTCTCCAATGGTCTGCTGTTGTCAGATGAATGAGCCCTATGTATGTTTGATTGTTTTTTTTCCAGGAAGATGAGAATATATTTTATTCTGTCAAGTATGAAATCAAGGAGGGCGACTGTCCTGTTCAAAGTGGCAAAACCTGGCAGGACTGTGACTATAAAGAAGCTGAGCAGGCTGTAAGTGTGATGGTCCGGAGCCTCCAGTTTTCTCAATCGAGACCAAATTATTCTATTAGTGCTGTAGAGCCTGTTTGTGAGGGGCTCAAATGTGTACAAAAGTGAAATGGTTGATGTCTATGTTCTTGCACAGACAGAAAGGGCATGAGAGGCCAGCCATGAGATTGGAGAAAGCCCTCCCATGAAGAGGGGACTCCTATGACCAATTGGGTGCTTTATTTGTGCAGACCTGAGTTGGAATTCTACTCTGCCTCTAATTAGCTGACCACTTTTAACCCATGGGCTCCCTTGTAAAAGGGAGGTAAAATTGACTTAAATTGGAATGTATCTTAACCAAATGCCTAACATCTGTATGCCACGCCACAGCTGTTGTTTGGCCTTACCTGAGGGAGCTAACAACCAGTATCTGCCAGGAAGGAAGCCACTCCACAGACCGTGGACTCACTTCTTTAACATGTCAAAATGTTATTGGTGGAAATGGGGTGTCCACTGGTGGGAAGTGGGGGATCCCTTTCCTCACTGGATGTTGGGGGTCAGGACCTCACGATATCTTGAGAAAAAGAACTTTCTAAGACTCACACAGGAAGATGAGAGATCTTTATTTGTGTGGAATAACATATCTGCATGTCTAAAGTCCCATTTCCCTTAAACCAGTCCTAAAATAGGTGCAGCCAAACCAATGTCCCAAGTTTTCATTCCATGATGGAGCTGGGTCCGGCACAGCATCAGGCTAGTTCCCATCCATTAGTCCATTGTTTGTGTGGGTGTTGGGGGGACATATGGCTGTGGGCCATGTGGGTGCATGCAGGGAAGTGTGTCGCCTGCAACAAGAGAGCCAGGAGCCCCAGTGTGCAAGAGAGGCAAGAGAGAAAGAGAACTCCTTTGTTTAGGAGTTTAATATCTGAAATCTTCCCGTGCTTGCAGTAGCCACACCGACTGTGTTCCCAGGGGTGATTGACAGATAAATACCTTCCCTAGGTCACCCAGACGTTACTGGGCATGTGTCTATTTGGCCTTCCCTTTGCTCCTTTTCAGTTAATACCTGGTTATTACAATGGTATCAAAA